TATTTTTTATCCCGTGGCCCGTAGATCGTCTGACGGAGCCCAACCCTTTCCAGGCCGTTTTTGAATTCAGAGTTTTTTTCTTCTCCTAGACCGGTTGCCACCCAAGGTTATAGAAGCCAGACTGTCCTGTTATTTAATTATTTATTAATAGTGTAGAAGGGGATTCATACCTTTCCGAAGGGTATTAGCATGTAAGTGAATGTAATTATCAGTTCTGACCTGGCATCTCAACTTCAGTCACTTTCGCACCGCCCTGATATGGCTTCCATCTGTCATTTCGATAAATATTTTCATGGCAATTGTTCTAAGCTTTTGTTATATACCGTACCTGTGAACACTAATGGGTATGTCCGAATCCTCATAAATATGTTGGACACTATTGTACGTGTGTGTGTGGGGGGGGGTAATGTGCTGTCTAAGTAGTCCACCACTATCAGTGGTTTACCTACTTCACGCCGCTGGCGAGTATTTTATTTTGTTGATGTTATAAAGATTACCATTTTATTTCCAACCTCCGTTTTGGTTATTCCTCATTCAGGTTACTGAATGAACGGGATTCAAGGAGATAAAAGATGGTGATTGATGTTGAATTTAATTTTATGAAGATTGTATCAGGGAAGCAAGTAAACGGAAGTAGGTGCACCAGGGAAAAAAATCTCGTCAAAGAAGTTGCCAAGGAAATAATTGTAGAAAATGGAGTCGGAAGCCAAAACAAGTCGGTAAGAAAGTGACTGACGTCGAGATGTCAAGTCAGGATCGATGGCAATGCAGATCCTTCTTTGGATATTGTCAAGAACCTCGAGATGAATAGCAAGAACCCCAAACTAAGTATGGCAGCAGTTTTCAGTGCACGGGCGAATGGTAGATTTTAAATGTCCAAGATGGATTCTGACTAAAAAAAACTTCTGGCACAGTGACCCAACTTTCCTTGCAGTAGATGCAGCTTCTGATTCGATGTAGGCGTTCAAGAAGGCGCAGTGTTTGTTGCTCTCCAGAAGTCTAACGTCAGCCAAGCTGATGGCAGGTAGAAAAAGTCTCTCTATGGCTAAGTGAGAGCAGTTTCGTTTTGGAGACATTAAAATTTACAAGACATTTCCTCCTCTAATCCATCCTAACAAAACACAAATTACTTTCTGAACACACTGACATATATATATATATATATATATATATATATATATATATATATATATATATAAAATGTGGAACGAACCAACTTGCGGTTGGACAACCGATTGGACAACCAGATTGGACTTTATTTGATTAACAGCCCGGGTTGCGTTTCCGAATATTTACGTTGCTGCACAGAGTTTGGTCGGTGACACATTTATGGCTTTTAGAAGCTGCTTACATCACGCTTCATCTTCCGACTTTGTACACAGAGGTAGAACTTTCAGTGTTTTTGCGTCTCATGGGTGGGTCGTGACTATTTTGTTTTTATGTTTCATAATCACTAGGAACTTTGTTGTTTTACTACTAAATTTATGTACCCACCCCCATTTACATTTACTATTTCGCCGTTTTGATTAGTGCCGTTACAACAAATCTTTCTGAAGAAGAGCTGGACGAAAAAGCTCCATTTAAAAGAATGTGTTCCGTCATATATATATATATATATATATATATATATATATATATAAACAATATATATATATAAATTAACTGGTTTAAAATATATGTTTTTTTTTCGCTACATTAATAATCATGTTTCAAAACGGAAGCTAAAAACTTTACGTTTCATTTTGTAATTAATATTAAAACATTAGTTCCATTTCATCCTCAAGCGAATTTTATTCCATTTTTGAAACATGGTTATTACTGTGTAGCGAAAAAAACATATCTAAAATCAGTTAATTTTTAATATTAAAGCTCCGTAAATTTACATTGAACACTATTTTGTAAAAAATAAAAAATATCAATAAGAACACCGGATTACATATCTTACTGTTCTTTCTTTATATATATATATATATATATATATATATATATATATATATATATATATATATATATATATATTTATATATATATATATATATATAATATATATATATATATATATATATTAGACAATAACTACGTAGATGTAAGCATTAGACAATTTGCCAAAAGACCTAACACCTAATCAAGAGAATATCTCGAACAAGTTAATTACAAAGAAAATTACCTAAAGGCAAACACCTACTTTGTAAAGAAAAATGTTCAATGCCTCGATTACCAAGACAGAGCAAAAAATATGCTTCACATCGTTAACACCTATCAAAGGACTGGGTGTGTCCTTACTCGAGTATCACACTTAGGTGATCTTCAGCTGCCTAGAACGCAAATGAAAGAAGAAGGGTCCAGCTTTATACACGCATGACCGGAGCACACCTTACCCTAAAGCATGACGGGAAAAAATAAAACAAAATAATTTTCTTTAAAAAAACAAGTGGATAGCCCCTACGTCACGATAGAAAAAGAAAACACTAAAAGTAAAAAAGAAAAAAAAATCCGTGGTATCGAGACTGTTGGTACCGGAAGTAAAGTACTCAGAGGGAAGTCTTTTAGCATAGATTGATCTTGAACTCTGTTGTGCATGCACACCAATTTAGAATGTTCTCGATCATTTCTGTTGTTTATGGCCGTGCTTGGAAGAAAAGTGTGTAGAGTGTGGTCATCTCATTACACCACATCGTGACCATGGATTTTGAAGGGGTTTTTAGGGATGCGCAACATTCCCAAGGTCTAAAACACACCATATTTCCGAAATCTCACCCCTTGCGACTTTTTCCTCTCACCCAAAATCAAATCCCACTTGAAAGGAACAATATTTCAAAATGTCGATAAAAAGCAAGAGAATACGATGAGAAAGCTGCTTGCTATCCTCACAAAAAAGAGTGAAAGCTGAGTAAAAGTGGACTACTTTGAAGGAAATTACTTGCTGAATTGATATGTGTTGTAGTTTTATAGCATCAGTTACGAAACTTTTTGACCAGATCTCACATACTTTTTGGACAAAATTATTATTATAAGTATAAGTTTTGTATTTTGTTTTACATGTTGCTAGTTTATCGTTTATTTTACGACATTCAAGCTATTTTGCGTTTATTTTATATTATATTTCTATCAATAAAAGGCAGGATGTGTGTGTGAGTGTAACAAATGCACGGCCGCAATTTTTTTGTGGCCATTTTCTACTGGCCAGAGAGAAAGCCAATAGCTGGCTGCAACGAATAGGCAGGATGATTCTATTGGCCAGCGTGAGAGCCAACAGCTGACTGACATGAATGTTAACTAGCATGCTAGCATGCAAAAAGATAGCTGCATTCGTAACAAGAGGGAAAAAATTTAAATCTGCATGCCACTTTACACCAATTGGCTCATTCCCTTGCTTAAACTCAACGTTAATTCTGATTCCGCAGAACTGGGTTGGGTGTGAAAAACTATTTGTTGTTAACATGCTTTTTTCATTTTTCCAGTTACAAGTCCTTTTTTAAAGCTGATCGTTTTGTGTTCATTTTTTTAAGTTCTTTTTTCGTAACAGATTTAATGTTTAGTATAGAGCTTAGAAAAAATTCGCAGTGTGAGATAGGCAAGAAGTAAGGGATGTTGCAACATCAGCACGGCAAAGGACACTCCTTTAAAGGCAAGGAAGGGTAAAAATATTTTAAGTCAAGTGATAGCAATTGCTGTATGAGTCGTACAATTTTTGAATCAAGCACGGGCAACGCCGTGCCTTGCTGCTAATATATATATATATATATATATATATATATATATATATATATAGAGAGAGAGAGAGAGAGAGAGAGAGAGAGAGAGAGAGACTTTTCGCTAAAGCGAATCGAGTCCTCTCAGTTACTGTGCGGTTATCTAAAAAAAATACGCTAAATTTCCGACGACTTAGTGGTAGAATCGCTGACTGACGCCAATTCAGACGGGTTTCGATCCTAGCTAGAGGCAATCGGACGTCTAGCCACACTGAAGAGCTGTGATATAGCTGTCTGTCGGTGGATGACTGTATATATATATATATATATATATATATATATATATATATATATATATATATATATATATATATATATATCTATTTATATTCTTCATTTATAAACACATAAAACATATATATATGAAAAATGTCATATATATATATATAAAATCCTTCTTTATATATATATATATATATATATATATATAAATAAAGGTTTCTTGATATGGGGTTTTTACTGCCTATTTCTAAAAACATAAATCATGCAAATTATTCGATCTGTTCTCGTTCCGATAGAATAAACAAATGTATGTTACTATTCAAAGAATTATAATTACTTCTCTGCCTCGTATTTTTCTTTACCGAATTGAACATAAGTTAAGTCCAAGTTCACAAAAATTGGGCGACCGGTACGCCTCGAACTTAAGATCAATGAGACCAGCTTAGTAACCATTGCGCCACATCATAGCTGACTACGCTTGTCCCGTTTTGTGTTCGTGTGTTTGTTAGTGATACTAAATCTTACGGAATTGCTTGGTGATTCAATGTATGCGTTTTCTATGTGGCCTGACTCGAGTGGATTTATGACTAATTTTACAAGTAAACACAGCTTCACATCTGGGATCAAATTCTGATAACGATTTTTACTTATAGCTTGATTTAATTTTTTTACAAGCATACATAAAGGTGCACTGCTGATTATATCTTACCATCGAAATGTTTAGCAATTACGCTTTGTAGATTATTACTAATATATTTGATCCTCACTGAGTGCCACATTCTTTTGGCTTTGTGACAAATTATGTCCAAGATTTCGAATTACAAATATGAGACTCAACCGGGACTAATTGTTAGCGGTTAATGAGTTCCATCGTTACTACTACATGGCCCGGGCTCGTAGCCTTGTGCCAAGCGAGGATAAGTTAGTTAGAGAATATATACAGGCTCAGTGATTTGCCTCTGAAACACTTATCATCCTTTTCTTTCTTCGTCATTCTCAACATTTTTCATTTTCTATCTCTCACAGACTTTCACTTTCACTTTCATTTTCACTTTCACTCAAGCCTTTATCTTCTCGACACTTTGTCTTTTTATTGTACGCGTAAACACGCCCAAAATCTCACTCCTACTCTCCTCCTGTGTTTTTTCAGTCGTCTTTCTCTTAGTTACTCTCTCGTTGTTCCTCATTCTCTTTCTCTCTCTACGTTTTTTTTCTTTCTAGAGAATTTCAAACTTCTCAAGCATCTCTCTTTCTTTCTTTCTTTCTTTCTTTCTTTCTTTCTTTCTTTCTCTCTCTCTCTCTCTCTCTCTCCACCACCTTATCTCTCGGGAACTCAGTGCTTGATTCCATTTCGCACATTAAGATTAGCTCTTTCCGTTTTCACGCTAATTTTCCCTTTCATTCTTTGTCTCACCGTTTCTATCACCCTCTCTCTCCTCCCCTTCCTCCTCCTAACTCTTACTAAGGCACGCTTTCTCACTTTCACACCTAGATTTCTTGTTCCCTCTTTCACATGCACATCCCGCTTTTCACATCATCATCATCATCATCATATCATCATCATCATCATCATCATCTCTCTATCCCCCTTTCTTTTTTTCTTTCTTTCTTTCTTTCTTTGTTTCTTTCTCGCTAGCTCCCACTTAGGCATACTTTTTTTTTCTCTCTGGCGTTTCTGATCTTTCTTTCACACGTAAGCCCCGCCTTTCTCACACACGCATCATCATCATCATCATCATCATCATCATCATCATCATCATCATCATCTCTCTTTCTCTCTCTCTCTCTCTTACACTATCACTTTCTCTATGCTACATATTGTTTTCCCTCCCACTCATTCAAACAGCCTTTTTCTCTTTATCCCTCCGCATATACACATTTTTCTTCATAGAGTGATTTTCTAAGCGTAGCTTAGATGTGGCACACGGCCGAAAGTATGGGGCGCCCAGTGAGGATCGAACTCACTATGTAGTCATAATTGTTCTTGTAAGACAAGCTTGATAATCATTACACTACGCTGAAATATATATATATATATATATATATATATATATATATATATATATATATATATATATATATATATATATATATATATATATATATATATATATATATATAAAAATATATATGGAAAAACAAACAAAAAAAATCCTTATATGCAATTATGCTGTTTTAATGTTAATATAATGTCAACGTCGGACGTTTCGGTCTAATAAACCATCTTTCAGGACATATTCATAAAATATAATTAACATAATCAATTCAACATGACAAAGACGATGGACATAAAAACAAGACTTATCCAAACAGATTTGCTTATATATATATATATATATATATATATATATATATATATATACGTGCGTGTGTGTATTTGACAGACACACACACACACACACACACACACACACACACACACACACGCATACACACACACTGGGTGACTAGGCCAATTCGCAAATTCAAGAATTTATATTCTTATTGAGTACCATAATAGCATTGCTTGTTATCAGACTAAACTAAAGTTTATATATAGTAACTGGAACGTTGACCCCAATCAAGGTTAACAATAGGCGAAACAGGTCTTATTTAATTTTTCTAATTTCGTCAGAAACAAAGAAAAGATTATTGAACTGTTATGTAATATCAATTTTCCTATATAGAAGTGAATAATGGTCAATCATCTCAGATGAAAGAGAGGCTTGAGAAATGTGCTTCTATAGAAGGATGCTGAGGATGCCATGAACTGAACATGTGAACAATGACGAAGTTTTAAGGAAAATGAAAACAAAAAAGACATTTATAGTTAGCCTCAGAAAAACTGTCAAAATTTCTAGGGCATATAATGAGAAAAGAGGGCTTAGAAAATTTGATACTCACAGGATATACTGAAGGCAAAAGTGACAAAGGAAAACAACGCATAATCTATTTACCGAGCATGTATAAATGATTGTCAGAACAGGCATTTGTGGAGAGTTGTGATAGTCTTCGTCTTCAAGGAGCATGTCACATAGAAGACATAGTAAAGTAGTCATGGGGGACTTGTTTGATCAAATTCTCAATCACCTATTCTCTTCTCGGGGATCTATTGTGGCTTGCAAGGGAGGAGACATGCCACAATATCTAGCTGTAGGACACAGCTCAAAGTTGATTGATTTGTTTGTTTAACGGCATATCAACACCTTATGGGTCAGTTAATGCCAAAATTTAATTTTCTTGGGAGCTTTGAGAGTATTTAAAATATGATATATGTTATTCTGCTTTCACAATTGAATACATGGTAGATGATGCTCAGCTTTTATGTATATACATGTTTTATGGACATGTGATATGTGCAGTGATATATGCGTTTCTTTATGTTGTAGAATATTATATGGAATAATATCATGAAAGAATTCTTTTATGTTGGTTGATTAATTTCGCTTCGTGGTATATCAATTTTAATGCCGAAATATAATATTTTGAACAATTTTATGTCTTCAACTAAAAATGAAGGTTTGTTTGTTTAGTGGCGTATCAACACCTTTATGGGTCATTTTTATGCCGAAGTTTTCTTGGAGCATTAGTAATTTCTTTTTAAAAAGTGTATTGCTGGTAATTTTTTATTATTTTAGTTTTTACAAAAATATATTGCTGCTAATTCTTGTACTGTGAAAATGTATTGCTGGTATTTTTACTATAAAATTGTTTATACTTTCATAAGATTTTTGACCCCAGTTTGGGGTTAACTATTTGCCCATATATATATATATATATATATATATATATATATATATATATATATACATTTTTGAAACATGGTTATTACTGTGTAAAAAAAAAACATATTTTAAATCAGTTAATTTTAAATATTAATGCTCTGTAAATTTACATTGAGCACTTATTGTAAAATAAAATATCAATAAGAAATACCGGATTATATCTTATTGTTCTTTTCTTTTTATATATATATATATATATATATATATATATATATATATATATATATATATATGTGTGTGTGTGTGTGTGTGTGTGTGTGTGTGTGTGTGTGATAATGGATTATGAATGCTCATATTATGCCTATTATGTATATATCTTCTCCAAAAAACTAGAAAAATTATCACAAAAGTAGAAATAATTTAAACACAAGTATTTAAAAGAATGACTTGTTTATGGGCTACAGCCAAACCTTTGTAAATGAAATTTTTACACCCCAACAAAAAATATATATATATATGAATAAATTTAAATGCAATTATGTTGTTTCTCATTCATTTTAAAACAACATAATTGCATTTAAGGATTTTTTGCTTGTTTTTTTCCAAATTTTTCTTCATTCTGTCGGATTTATATCCATTTACATTTGCTTATATATATATATATATATATATATATATATATATATATATATATATGAGGAATATAGTTTTAAGTTGTTCTATATTTATGGATAAAGTGCTCAATATCAGAGACGGGGCGTATGCAAATAATATAGTGAATATTGAGAACATTACATAGGTTAGCATACTGACGCAATCGTCAGGCATAACAATTGTGTCCAGCATGAAAAAGCCTGTCGCCCTGAGTCTTGACTTCAATGTTCACTTTTATATATATATATATATATATATATATATATATATATATATATATATATATATATATATATATATAAACATTTTCCTCACTGTTTATTTTATTTCTTTTTGATACCAGTTTATAATTCTACCTGGCTGACAACTTGTTTTATGGAATTGGAGAACTTACGTATCACTCGTCCCCATTTTGATACCAGTATCGTTATTCCATCTGGTGTGAAAATTATTTTTTAGGATGGAAGAGCTTACTTAATCAACTCAAACCACTTTTTACCTATAGATTCAAGTACAATATAATTCAATATGCAATAAAAGAAATAACAAATTTCAATAATAACCACCAAAAAATGAATATGTAAATCACACCAGCCTAATCCACACAATTTAGAAGAGAATTATTTCTTCTTCTTCTTCTTCCTCTTCTTCTTCTTCTTCTTCTTCTTCTTCTTTGTGTCGTGTCACTTCAAGACGTTAGTGTTCACGTCTCCACACAACTTCTTATCATCAGTAGCTCTAAGTAATGTTTGTCTCCTTACTCTCCCTCCAAGTCTACTTACACAGATAGTGTTGTGTCGTAAATAGGAAAAGTTGACGCACATATAGAAAATATGGCACCCAGTTCAGTACACAGACTAATGGAATAAACAGTTAATCGTTAATTCCTCGGTACAACGCCGGTTTTTAACGTGGGGCTTTCCAAGCGCGTACGCTCGGGCAAACATTGTCCGTAGACACCGAATACACTGGGCCGGGTGGCTGTCTATCTCCCCTGACAATACTCTGCCCTTCAGCATTGCCTCGTCTGAGTTCCTCTCCGCCCAGAGGCGACAAGCAGAGTGTCGATTAATCGTTAACGTCTCGTTATTTACCCGAGATCTCCCCCGGAGGCGGGATGCGGCACAAGAGCGTTTTTTACGTGGGTCGTTCCGTATAGACGAGGCCAGGTAGTTGTCTATCTCCCCTGACGCGACTCTGCCCTTCGGCATAGCCTCGTCTGGGTTCCTCACCGCCCAGAGGCAAAGAGTCTACAAGCAAAGTTAACTCTAATCGTGAACTCCTTTCTCTCGGTAAAGAAATGTGCTGTTTAAATAGTTTTAGACCAGACCATCTTGAGGAGGTGTTCAGCTACTCCACAACAGCTAGGTACTCATGTTTCCCTCTCCCTCAAATATGTTCCGTGAGTGTCAAATTCTCAAAGTCCATTTCCCTCATTATTTCACAGAAATTCCAATTATTTTCCCTGATTCTAAGCCCAGGTCTCCTTTTCCTTCCTATTTTCTTTAGAACTTCCTCGTTGCTTGCATGTTACGTCCATGATATTCTCAGCATCCTTCTGTAGGACCACATCCTTGTTGCTCAAGTCTCCTCTTCATCTGTGAATAAATTGTCCAGCATTCACTGCCGTATAGGAGGATGGCTATTACATCAGCATTCTCGCACTCTCTTCTTTTTTTCTGATGAAATTTTCCTATTTCTTGATATCGTGTTTGCTTTTTGGAAGGCATCTTTCGCTCTTCCAACCTTGGAAACCTTACATAGTTATTAACCGCTATGATTTTGAAGAGAAATATATTTGCTTCATTTTAATACCAGTTACATTATTATATCTGATTTGAAAATTGTTTTATCGGATTGGAGACATTAATTATCAATCCACCCTCGAGCAGAATAAATTTAACTTTATCTTATCTTCACATAAGAAGCAATAACAGATTTTTTTTCTCTCCATTTCTTTCTCTCTCACTATCACAACTATCTCTCTATATCTCTCTATCTCTCACTCCCTTTTACTCAATAAAATGTACAATCAGTTTATACTTTCTCGCAACAGTTCAATGCCGATCAGTCTTTGTGGAAAAATAATTTGCCACTGGTCATTTCTCATTCCAAAGTGGAGATTAGGAATGGACGCAGAGCTTTCAAAACCTAATTGGCAAGATGTTAATTTTAAGTTTGTTGAAAATATGTATGTAAGTATGTACTAATTTCAAAGCAATATCTATTTTGTTCAAATTTAAACCTTCTCTCTCTTATGCCCTTTATCTATCTTCACTTATTCCCATCTCTCCCCCTTCCCCCTCTCTCTCTTTCTCTCT